CCCAAGAAGAAGGTCAAATAAAGCTCAGCCAGCCCCTCCTCCAGAAGGGCACCACCTGCCCAATGCCTGCAGCCTTGGGGCCTGAATAAAGTTTCCCTCCCTTGACTAGAAAAAATAAATAAATAAATAAATAAAATAAAGGGCTAGGAACATAGCTAATACAAAGTGCCTGAGTTCAACCCCATTACCTGTAAAAAGAAAAATTCTCACTGTGAGCCCTCCAGAGGGCCCATCTTAGGCTGGGGATGACGTTCAGTGGTAGAGCACTTGCCTACCATGCAGTCTTGGATCCAATCCCCAGCACAGCCAAAGAAAAGGCTCACTGTGCCAAACCACTTATCCCATCCTCACCGAGGCCCAGGCTCTGCTCACTTTACACACACTCACACTCCCGACCCGTCATACATGCACCCTTATGCATGCATTTGCTTACACATTCACATGCTCACATTGTTTACACAGTCTCACTGGCAAACAATGGGTACATTTCATGAATACATTCTTGCCTTTTACACTTTTACACTTGTAGACACTCATTGTGCTTACACACTGATAAACAGTCACACCCACATCAAAGCAGTTATCCCTTCCCTGGCTTCCTACCCCTCCTCCTCCAGGAGGCACATTCCTAAACTTACCAAGCAGAGGGGCATCACTGTTCCTTGTGTCCACTCTGTTTGTTCCTGCAGCTCAGTGCCTCACCAGTACCCCAGGAAGACTCATCCCTGCTCTCTCGGGGTGGACACAGATGGCTCATCTACTTTCAGCTGAGACAACACCTTCTCTCCCCGACACTAGGTACAGACATCAGGGAACAGGCAAGGCTTGTCCAGGAGTAGTTATGGGTGGAAAAGTCAGGCTTCTACTGAGTAGTGCTTCTGGGAGTCTTCTTACTGTTTTTTTTTTTTTTGTTTTTTGGGGTTTTTTTTGGTGGAACCAGAGATTGAACTCAGGCCCTTGTGCTCGCCAGAGAAGCACTTATTCCACTGAGCCATCTCTCTAGCCCCGGTCTTCTTACTGTTGCAGACAGACTGAGTTAGATAGAAAATTGTAGGCAGTCAGACAAGGTCAGGCCCTCGAAGGAATAACATTGGCCCTCGAAGGAAATAACAATAGCCAGGCGCTTTCCAACTGTGGCAAGGATGGAGGCCACTGCTGTAAATTAAACCTAAAGACTGGCATCCAGGATTGATCATTACTCAGGAAGAATCATTGTCTGAAGTTCACCCAATAAGGTCCTGTTTTACATTCATGCCCACTTACTACGTGACTCGCTACCCCATTTTGTCTTGGGCCTAATCAATTTTACCTGAGCAAATGGTGTTTGTAATCCCATTTGTTGACCATAGTTTAATCCCCCTGCATCTACCTAAGCAAGACCCCTTTGCCTCTACCTCAGCCCCGTATGGTTTTGCCCTATAAAGGTAACCTGGAAGAGACAGTTTCCTGGGCAACCCGCTTGGGTCCGCCTTCTGTCCCCCTCCAACAGAAGCTTTTCTTTCCAATAAAGTTTTACTGGGCTGGAGAGATGGCTCAGTAGAATAAACGCTTGTCTGGCAAGTGCAAGGACCTGAGTTCAATCCCCAGTTTTGCCAAAATAAATAAATAAAATGAAAGCATTTTATTTTATTTATTTATTTATTTTTTGGTGGAACTGGGGATTGAACTCAGATCCTTGCATTTGCCAGTCAAGCGCCTATCCTACTGAGCCATCTCCCTGGCCCCTTGGATTTTTTGGGGGGCGAGGGGGGGGCTGGCTCAGAATGCCTTCAGGGCATGTTTGGCTGGCTGGAGTTGTAGGGATCGAACCACAGCAACCTTAGGCTGACTGCTTTGTTGAAGCAGCCACTTAAACAACTGAGCTAAGGGGGCAGGCCCCAAGTGAAAGCATTTTAAAAAATAAACTAAAATAAAGTTTTACCCTCAACCTCTGTTTGTTCCTAAAATTCATTTTTCAGTTTTAAAGAACACGAACTCATCCAGGTCAGGTCTGGAGTTTATCATTGCCAGCTGTCAGGTGTCACAGGGTCTACAGCTCCCTGGGTGCTGGGCAGCATCCCCCTTCCAGCTCCACAGCCCTCCATCAGCCTGTGCAGTGAGAAGCAGATACCTGTAGGGTACCTGCTGGTTCTATACTGGTTACAAGGCTGCTGCTTCCCAACCACATTCTTAAGGACAAGGTGGTATCAGCCCTTGAAATTGAGTTACTAACACAAAAGGTCAATAAGCTGCATCCAGGCAGATTACTACGAGTCTGATCTAGTAGTGAGACCCTGAACACCCTGTAGACCCTTCCCTAAAATACAAAAAAAGGGGCCAGGGAGATGGCTCAGTAGAATAAGTACTTCCCTGGCAAGTGAGTTCAATCCCTGGTTCTGCCTAAATAAATTTTAAAAAGCTGCATCCAGTGCCTGACTACAGACTATGTCTTATTTTTTATTTTTTTTATTTTATTTTATTTTTTTTTCAGAACCAGGGATTGAACTCAGGTCCTTGTGTTTGCCAGTCAAGCACCTATCCTGAGCCATCTCCCCAGCCCCTAGACTATGTCTTGAAGATAAAGTTAACAACTTCTCTGCCTGTATCTTTCAACTATACCACAGAACGGGGTGAGGTGGACACAAATGTAAGTCCTCTGTGAACACAAGCAATATCAACACAATTCTAACATAGAGGGAAATCCCGGAAGCTCAGGACGGGATGGAGGACTCTTCTTTACTGTGGAGACTACTGCTGATACATCAGGGACAGCAGCAAAAAGGGAAGCTGCCCTGGTGCAGATGTTCAGGGCTCCTGGAGCCCTCAAAGACCATCTTTTTTTCTATTCCAGACACAGGAACAGAACAACCTCCATGTCTAGCATACTTGACCAACCTTGTTTCCAAACATGCACAGCAGGTACCTGGTGTCTGTAGGTTGTTTTCCACAGTAGACATTGTAGGACACCACCCAGATCTACTCCTAGACTCAAAGAGATTCACCCCCAGCAGCCAGGAGATACACACTTGCCCGGGTGTCACCTCTAATGGAGGAAAATCCCCCAAATAAGGTGTTCACATCCAGATAGACAGCTTCCCTCTGTGTTCAAACCTCCAAGGCTCTCTTCGCTCCCAAACTCAGGTAAGATTTGCAACAGATCTAGCAAACCCTACTCTCAGGCCTCTCATCCATGCGGCTCCCTGCAGACAGATTTCCTATCCTAGTGTCTGCATCCAGGAATCCCTAGGCTCAGCCTACCCTGGCCTCCTGGGCTAGGGCATCAGAAAGACGGTGTGAGCAGAGGACAGACACATATGTGCTCAAGCCTGTACTCAGTCCACATGGATGCATATCTGCACACGTATGTGCTGCTTCATGTCTGCCCTGAATTCTCGTGGAGGAGCCCTTATATGGAACACAGTCCCTAGCCCCTCAATCTTTCATAAGCCCTAGAGAAATGAGAATCAACTTCAATTGCTTAGTGTAAGCATACTTGGAGCTGGTGAATAGGTGTCTGAAGATGAACAAGTCCTGTCTACCCCACTTCTTACTCCAAGACAATAAAGGGTGGCACCCTGACTAGTAAGAGAAGTCCTGATAGCTACATTGGCATCTTCACTCAGGTTCCTGGCCACAAAGAGCTCACCTTAGGGGACCAGCCTCTGGGCTTTGTTTTATTTTGTTTTCCTATCCAAGTGCTAACCAGGCCTGGCCCTGGTTAGTGTCACAGATCAGATGTTGCCGATTCACAGTAGTTTTGGCCTTTTGGCCTCAGACAAGCCTCTGGGCTTGGAGGGCAAGGAACACATCAGAAGAAATTGCCCCTCCTGGGGAGCAAGGATTTAGGGATGGGCCCAGGACCACTCACAGGCTATCCCCCCCCACCCACTGGATATTTGAAAAGGAAAAAAGTGGGCTAGGCTGCTCCAGACCTAAGTTACAGCTATTTCTTTTCTTTTTTTGGCAGAATCGAGGATTGAACTCAGGCCCTTGCACTTGCCAGGCAAGGGCTTATTCTACTGAGCCGTCTCCCCGGCCCGGTCACAGCTATTTTTGAGCCAGCTGTCCCCTTCCCATGGCCCAGTGCTTAGCAAAAGGGTCTAAAAGCTTCTGGGCCCAGAGAACAGCAAAAGTGACATCATAAACCCCAGAAGGGAAGATGCAGCCATCCCCTCACTCCCTACGCCCACATGACTGCCTTAACTGCTCAAGGAACCATCAATCTCTACCTTCAGGGCCTTCTAAATACAGAAAGTCAGAGACCTGGTGAGAAGCTGCTGGAAGAGTATTCATGCAGCATAGGAGCTCACTGGCTCTACTTCTACTTCACTTTTTTTTATTTTTGGTGGAACCGAGGATTGAACTCAGGCCCTTGTGCTTGCCAGGGAAGCGCTTATTCTACTGAGCCATCTCCCCAGCCTGACTACTCCTACTTCAACAGCTGTCAGGCCATCCTCAAACTAAGCCAGTGTGTGGAGCCCCTATTACTAGCCCCTCAGCATTAATGAGGCTAATGCTGAAACCTAGTCTCAGTGGCTTTTAGAGCCAAAAACTGAGAGCCACACCCTCGCAGCAGGAGGCAGCTCTGGACCTTCTATATAGCCTGTGGGCTGGGGTTACAGAGTTGTTCACCCCAATCTTGAAGCTTTCTGCAGCCTTGGATCTGCATTATTATTATTATTTTTTTTTCCTCCTGGAACCAGGGATTGAACTCAGGCCCTTGCGCTTGCCAGGGAAGGGCTTATTCTACTGAGCCATCTCCCCGGCCCCTTTTCTGCAGCCCTGGTATCTTCATTTCTACCTCCCCATTAGCATTCCTGCTTTCCCAACAAGCCTTCCAGCCCAGCATCAGGGCACAATGAGGCTCCAGACCCCTAGAGCAACTTTTTATCTTCTAGTACCACCTCCTTCCGCCCCAGACCAGCCTGCCATCCTGTCCTGCAGACCATAGGGAAAAAGCCCAGCCCACCACTTCCGACTGTGCTGGCCTACAGTGAGTCCTAACACCACAGACCCGGAAGTGAGGGGGGGAACAATTGCGCAAGCCCCCCACTCTGGCCAAAACATCTGGAGAAATGGGATGCTGGTGCCTGCCCTACCTTGTTCTCCTGAGGCAGAGCTGCCCACTGAATACAATGAGCCTCTCCTTGTTTATTGGAAAAGTGAGGATAAGAAAGCCCTCCAGAATGCTATTTCTGATACACCTATCCTCCCCTGACCTCATCAGGGGCACAAGGGCTCAAACGGGGCCTCACTTTTCCTCCTAGATTTTGAGGGACAAGAAAGGGAAACTTTTCTCACAGGAAGGTGGAGTCTTTGTTTGGGCAGATTGGCTGCAGGGGTTAAGAGAGGAAGGGGGTGGGAGTCACATCCAGGCTTGCCTCATTAGCAGGGATTTATGATATATTGTCCCCTAAAGCCCCCGGAAATCCCTGGAAGCAGTACACAGTGCCCCAAAACAGCTAGGTAGCTTCCAGCAGGCAACAGGCAGAGGCTGTCCCTCCCTCAAAGCAGCAGGGTGCAGGCAGCAGCCAGCCAGCCCAATGGCTGCCCCTTCTTCCCCAGGAAGTCTTGGTTGGGCCTCAACTGGTCAGAAGAGAAGCCCCTAAGAGACCAGGGTCCTGCCACCTGGCTTTACCTAGGTAGGGTAAGGTGCCCCCTACATCTAAGAGTTGTGACCTGTTCCTCTGTGCGTCTAGCACTTCTCAGGGCACCCAATTGATGAAGCCTGTAAGGTACTTTCTCAGGGTCAGGGGCCCAACAATCAAAGATTGTTCAGGATAACACCCTCAGGGTTTTTACAGGGTAGAGGCAGGTTGTGATTATGCTCTAGGGGGATCCTGTGAATTCAGGCAGACACTAGCATGGCAAGGTCGAATGGAGGTAGCTTTGGGACCTCCTTCCTGAGGCCTTTCTTCCCCTGGGTCAGGCACTGCCCTCCCCAGGCGCATCGGCCCTTTTACAGAAAAGGCAGGCAGCAGGCACTGAGTTTTGGGGACCAGGCATTAGAGTCTAGGGCGGCTGCCATCGGCCAAGCGAACATTCACAGGTACCCACAGCCCTAGTCCTGGCCTCAGCTCCTTGTGGAAGCTGGTCGGCTTGGACGGCCCCATTCAGGTCGTGAGCGAGTTCCTCTTGGTATCCCAGAGCGGCAGGAGGGGTGGGGGCTCCACTGCAGGAGCAAAACTCCCCACTGTTCCCTCTTTCTTCCTAAACACAGCGAGGGGCAGGGCCTCCGGACAAGCCAGGGGTCCACTTCCTGCCCCCTCCACTCGGCGCCTGAAGTCGGCAAAGGCAAGCCCAGCACCAGGGTTTGGCCGTCGCCTTCCTGGCGCAGTCTCCAGGGTCAGCCTCCGCACAGCTGAGACCCAGACCTTCCCAAGGCAGGTCTTCCGGCCCAGGGCCCTCCAGAGAGGCCAGACCAGGGACCTGGCGCTTGGCCCATCCGGGGTAAGTGGGCTCTGCGGCCATCAGGTGGATCCTTGGGGCGAAGTCAGGGCTGCAGACCTCATTTACCACTGCGCCTCCGACTTTCCTTCAGTCAATTGAGGCTGGGTGGCCGCTGTGAAGGAGGAGCCCAGCGGCCTGGCCCCGCCCCTCTGACAATGCGCAGGCGCCTGCGCCGGCCCCGCCCCCGAAGGCGCTTCCGGGCAGCGGGTTGGGGCGCACGGCGTGTCTCAGGTAAGTTCGTGTAGTGGCGACGGCTGTGTCTAGTTGTCCCCTCCCCATAACCCCGGGAGGGCGCCGGGGGAGAAACTGATGACTGTAACCTTGACTGCGCCCTCCAGTCCCAACGGTGCTTTAGCCTTTCGGAGGAGCCCCCCGCTCAAGGGGCATCGGGGCAGAGCAGCCTTTGAATGACCCGACGTGGTGGGGCCCGCCTCAGGCCAAACCGGGTGAGATCCGGGCCACAGCGCCGCGCAGTCTGAGCCCGCGGCGAGCTGGCACAGTGGGCCAAGGCTGCAGAGACGGTAACGTCAGCGTCCATTCCCGGCGGACTGGTGGTTTGGGTCCAATGTGGACGTCAGCACAGATGTTAAAAATAATGAGTTTCTCTTGTGCACTGCTTAAGACCAGCCTTTGTGCGGCCTTGCCATTCACTGGTCTCCTTTGACTCCCCTCCTCCTTGGCTCTACAATAGCTGAAGATGTGTAATCAGATTTCCCTAGCCTTGTGGAGAACCTCCTTGGAAGATCTCTTGGCCTACTGGCTCCTTACTATATGCTGGGGACAGTGAGGCAATAGGCACCTTTTTTTTTTTTTCAGAACTGGGGATTGAACTCTGGCCCTTACACTTGCCAGGGAAGTGCTTATTCCACTGAGCCATCTCCCTGGCCCCAATAGGCACCTCTTAGGGATCTGGGATCATACCCTGAGCACTTGGGATGGGGCTAGGCAGATGGTCAGCCCCGTGCTCACCCACCTGTGTGTGCCAGGCCTTCTGAGCCATTCCCAAGCATCTGGCAGGTAGGAACTTTGTTCACCTATTGGCCATGCAGTTGAAAGGAGGAGTCTTTTTCTGCCAGGCACTGTCCAGGTCTTGCCCAGGTTAGAGCTGTTTTTTTAAATTCTTGCCCAAGGTTAGATACAAAGAGCAGGATTCGGGGGGCTGGGGAGATGGCAGTAGAATAAGTGAGTTCAATCTCCTGTTCTGCCAAAAAAAAAAAAAAAAAAAAAAAAGCAGGATTCCAGAAATAAATTGAGAAGTTTCCTTTGGGTTCATGTAATGAATAGGAATGAAAAGATCCTAGCCCTTACGTTCAAGGCTTAAGCACCAACTGTCCCCTCCCCAGGTCCTCCAGCCCACTCTTCCAAGCTGTTCATTTTCCATGTGTGCAGGGCATGTAGGACAGAATGGCCACACTACCAATACCAGCTGCGTATCATCACCTCTGATCATTTCCCAAGGGCTTCTGAGGTTGAATGTCAGCTGTGGCATTCTGTTTATGCCTCATAACAACACATGAGGTAGGTACCACCCCCACTTTGCTGATGAAGAAACAGCATTCCATCTCTCTCCATTCCCTCTCTCTTAACTCTTTCTCCCACTCCCCCTCTCCCTTCTCTTCCTCTCTCCTTTTCTCTTTTGGTACTGGGGATTGAACTCAGTACTGAGCTGTATTCTGATTCCACCCCTTTTTGTTTTCTAATACAGGGTCTCAGTGGAGCTCAGACCTTGAGCTCATGCAGTCCCCATGCCTCAGCCTCCTAGTGCTGGAAATTACAGGTGTACACCACTGTGCCTTTGTATTTCCAATGCTTTTAAAACTTTTTTTTTTTTTTTTCTGAGATAGGGTTTTACCATGTAGTTCAGACAAGCTTTGAACTCATGGCAATCTGCAGTAGGCTCTAGAGTGCTAAGATTACAGCTGAGCACTACCACAGATGGCTTTTTGGCAGAACCGGGGATTGAACTCAGGCCCTTTCGCTTGCCAGGCAAGCACTTATTCTACTGAGCCGTCTCCTTGGCCCCCTAGGCAAACCCCATTTATTTATTTATTTATTTATTTATTTACAGATGGCTATTTTTAAATATTTTTGAGTCAAGATTTCACTAAGTTGTTCAGGCTGGCCCTGAGCTTCTACTCCTTCTGCTTCAGCCTCTGGTGTAGCTGGGATTGTTAGGCATGTGCCATTGTGTCTAGCCTCATCTGCTCCTGGAAGTCACTGAGCCTGATTCACCACACAACTATCCATCCCCTCCTACTCAGATACTTAGTTGTTTTTTTTCCCGTTACAGCTTTCCCAAAGGATGAGGCAAAAAAAGAAACTGGCAAAGGCAGAGGAGCAGCAGAGCCAAGCAGACACAGCCCAGATGCCTTCCCTCAAGAAGCCTTACTTGGGACCACCTTTAACCATGGGCTCCCAGCACAGCATCTATTTCTGTCAGAGCCTAAAAGACCACTCTGCCCGGCTGGGATCAGAGTTTTTTGACCAGCCAGCCATCTCCCTGGCCCGTGCATTTCTGGGACAGGTAATGTACTTGGAGCATTATGGTCTGTACTGAAATGCTAGCGCAGGCCATGTAGGCATCATGCACCCAGTCATCTCACCATTGGTGGTGTAGCCCTTATTGTTTCATCTTTGTACTCATGCAAGTGGTTATTTTGTCCACACTGGTCCCTGGATAGTTCATCTCAGAGACTCGGGTCCCTGGAAAGAATGAAGATTGCTAGTGCTGTTGACTCTGATGGAGGCTGCACAGCCACTGTCAGCCTCCTGTTCTGACCAGTGACAAGAATTCTGCATTGTTAGCCTCCAAAACCTGGGAAATAGAGCTTTGTCCCTGTTCTGAGACAACTCACTTTCCCCTTACGGCAGGTTGTCAGGAATATGAACAGTGTTGGCTCCTACATTTCTGAGCCTGTGGTGAGCAAAATGATGTCCAGCAAAGAAGAGGGTGTTTTACCTTATGTGTCCCTTTGGAGGTGTGGGAGCCTGCAGAGTGAAGCCAATGGAGGAGTGCTCCCTCTAAGAGCACCAGCAGAGATGGAATGAGGCCATCGTTTCTCTCCTGGAGGTAGTCTAGCCAAGCCTGAAGTGTTCACTCCTATTGTCAGTGCCTTGAATGCCAGCAGGGATTTCTGGGCTTCTAGGGTAGGCACTGATTCTTTTTATCCCTTCCCCTACATGTAATACCTTCATTGCGCCATGGGCTACCTGGGCAGAGGCAGTGGTGGCCTGACTGTCCAACTGATCTGTGGCTGGACCCTGAAGCTCCACCATGAACCCTTGTTTAGTCAGGCCTGCAGCTGCAGGTACTGGAGTGAGATGCTAGCCATTCCATGGTCCAGGCTGGTGTATTGCAAGGTAACTGGTCCCACTGCCCAGAAGGTCCTAGAGCTGGTGGGCACGAGCTGAATATGAAGGGTTCTTTGTGGCTACTGGATTAGGCCAGGTTGTGGACACTCCACAGGCTCTAGAACACTGTAAGAGGCTATGTAGGAACATCCTTTTGCCTTCTACACTGTGTCATGCTGAACATTTATGGTTCCCTTAAGGGAAACTGGGAAAGGAGATGAGGAAACTGAGAGGATCTAAAATTGATCTTTGCAGTACATTCTCAAGGAACCAAATCCTAGCTTGAGTTTAAGGAGGCTCCAAGTGGTCAGCACCTTCAGTGAACAGGGCTTATAGTTTGGTGGTCAAGCAGGGCTGGTGACCTCCATGGTATTCAGATACTGAGCAGGAGCAAAAGGCAGGATGGAGGAGCCAAGTGGAAAGGCTTAGTACATCCTTTGTTGGGGAGAGCAGGTCCAGTGGGAACTGTCAGGTTGTGTGGAGTCCTATCCTTCTAGCCCTGAGCAGACTTGACTGCCCACAGGTCCTTGTCCGGCGACTTGGTGATGGCACACAGCTCCGTGGCTGCATTGTGGAAACTGAGGCATACTTGGGACCTGAGGATGAAGCTGCCCACTCGAGGGGAGGCCGGCAGACTCCCCGTAATCGCAGCATGTTCATGAAGCCTGGGACCCTGTATGTGTACATCATATATGGCATGTACTTCTGCATGAATGTCTCTAGCCAAGGTTAGTGGTGCTGGGAAGGAGGGAGCAGGAGGGCTGGCTGAACCCCATCAGCTAGCAGCTGAGGAAGTCCCAGGATGGGTAGGCAGGCATTTAAACAAGGAGCTGCCATTGCCAGAGTCAAGTCTAGGTGTCAGGAACTCTGGCTGCAGTGATAACAAGGTTAAAGGGCTGGGCCCCACAGAGTATGCAGTAGGGCAGACCTGAGTGTAAAGCATACAGGTTCCATGAGCTACCACTTGTCTAGAGCTTGGAGCTTATGTCAGAGCACTGGACTAGTCTTTAGTTCAGGGTAAGCTGGGTTCATGCAAGTGCTTTTCCAATTGGCCTGGTGGGAGTCTGGATCTGTTCTCAGCCAGAGGCAATTCTGCCTCTTAGGAGACATCAGGCAGTGTCTGGAGACATTTTTTTGATCCTCATAGCTAGGAGTTCCTTATTGGCATCTAGTGGGGGGAAGCCAGAGATGTTAACTTCCCTAAAATGCACAGGATGGCAGCTGCCCACCAGAGAACCCTCTGTCCTTTAAAGTCATTAGCAGAGATGCTGGTCCAGGGCTCCTGGGAGAACCTGCTTACTTTGGTTGGTTTCCCTTTGTTCTTGGAAGGTATGGTAGCTTCTGGGTGATCTGTGTCTCAGAACAGAAGGCAGGCCGGTGCCTGGGTCCAGAGCACCAGCCTGCCAAAGCCATTGCTGACCAGTACTATCTGTCTGCCCCACCCTTCCTAGCCAGTCCCAGCATCTGAGTGCTTCATAGTCTGGCATGTTGCAGGGTCACACATTTGTTGATCAAGTATAGGACAGATGGGGGTATCTAGTGCAAGAGCCTCAAGAACTGAAGGACTCAACAGACTGCAGGACTGCCTAATGGCTGGCATAGAACAGATGTTCAGTGAAACTCTGGGTGCCTGGATACCAAAAGAGGGTGGGAACCAGGCATGATGGCACACACCTTTAATCCCAGCACTCAGGAGACTGAGGTAGGATCATTGCATGTTTGAAACCAGCCTGGGCTACATAGTGAACTTAAGGCAAGCCTGAGCTACACAGCAAGACCCTGTCTCAAAAAAACCAAAAAACAAACAGGGGGCTTGCAGGTTAGCTCAGTTGTTTAAAGCACCTGCTTGGGCAAACTCAAGTCAGGCATAGGGGACCGTGGTTCGATCTCCAGGTCCACAAGCCGCACTAGACTCACCATTAAGACAGGCTGAGCTAACCAAAAAAGTAAAAAACTAACAAAGATGGTGGGAGCCCTTCCTAGAGGACCCTGTTATGACCCTGGAGAGTTGATCTGAGCTTATTGTTAGTAATGAAACCAACTCTTACAGAGGTTGGGCTGAAATCAGGAAGACAGTCCAGAAATACTTGATGTTGTGGATGGTTAGGGAGGGGAGGAGCAGTTTTCTAGGGCACAGTAAATAAGGCAGAGGCAGGGGTGTGACTTGTTACTTCTAAACATGTGACCAAGATGCACCAGAACATACAGCTTGGGAGACAGGATCCTGCAGGTGTGCAAATGGTCAGACTAGGTCATCTTGGGGGCAGGGAAGAACATGGTTAGTGCGTGCACTGGGGTAGAGGCAGCATATGGGATGCCAAAGAGCTGGGTTTGAGAAGAGGATGAGGACTGTGCATCCCAGATCAGAATGGTCATTTGAGGGCTAGAATATGTAGTATAGAACAGGGGCCAAGAACCAGTACATGTGGCAGAGAGGTCAAAGGTCTTTTTTGTCATAATATGGTATTCTGATGTGTCCTGTGCAGAAAGCAAGAGGAGTGTGGCAGTGGCACCTGAACCACTTCTTTGACACATTTACAGGTTGCTCTGGGGGGCTGAGACAGCAGGGGGTATCCTCTTCATGGGACTCCTGCTGACTCCTGCTGAAGGGGCTCTGGGTGGTCATACAGAGAACTTTAGGTAACAAGCTAAGAGCAGAATAGGAATCAGGACTGGAACTTCCAGGCTTTTCTTTTTTTAAATTTATTTATGTATTTATTTTGTGTGTGTGTGGCCAGCTCAGCCCACCAGGGGGCTGGGCTGGCTGGCATGTGGTGCTGGGGGGTTGAACTGCGGTCCCTGTGCTTTGCTTAGCTTAGCTTGTTCTAAGTAGGTGCTTTAGACCACTGAGCCATCTCACCAGCCCCACTTCCAGGCTTTTCTACCTTTGATTACATCTTGAATTTGAAAACTGGCTGGGTAAGGGCTACCTGCTCACAAGAACCCAGCAGAATTGCCAACTACAGGCTGTGCTGGAGAACAGGCTCTTATCCACTCTGGATTGGCCCTGGGTGCTGATCTGGAAGCTGAAGCTGAGAGGAAGTCCATGTCCAGGGCCTGAGAATGAAGGCAAGCATATTTACTTGGCTGTGCCTCTGGCTCCCGAGAGAGCAGCCTTCTGGGATGAGTGCTTCTCTGGCCAGGGCCTGGGGGATCATTATCTGTGGCCAGAAATAAGGACATTCTCAGACAGGCAAGGCAGGAGAATTAGACATCTTTTATCTTCTTCATGGACTCCTGGACTGTGTTCATAGTCTTAGCATTGAGTCACCAGAAAGGGCTTTCCCATTCTTCTATGAGCACTGGTGAGTATTGCAGCCAGACTCCCAGTTTTGCCAAGAAGGATGCTGGGCAGATAAGGCCCATGAGGAACCCTAAGGTCTGGTTGGTTTGGCTAAGAATGTTTCTTATTAAGAATGATCCAGGCTGGGGAGATAGCTCGGTGGTCTAAGCACCTTCCTGGACAACCACAAGGACCCGGGTTCAATCCCTGGTACCACATGCTGTGCTGACCCTGGAACTGGGTGTGGTAACGCATACCTGTAATCCCAGCCCTGGGGAGGCTGAGACAGGAGGATCACTATGAGTCTGAGCTACATAGCCAGACGCTGTACCAAATAAATATATACATAAATAAATTTTTTTAATAAAAAAAAAATGACCCCAGCCTTAAGAGGGCTGATTCTGGGGCTCCTTTTGCTGTCCTCACTACCAATCATAAGACCATGGGAAGCCAAGGAAAAAAGAAAGTTGATGCCTAGCACTCTCACTTGTGCTTTCACAAGGTCTCTAGTTCTTGCTTCATGGAGTCAGTAGTGGGTCCTTGTATGGTGGTGGCAGCCAGACACCCACAGAAAACATAGTTGCCTTGTGGATGAGGGAGGAGGGGAAGAGGCAGGTAGAGGGGCTGGACCATGAGTGCAGATGGTCTCACCATCACATAACCAGAAGATAGCAAGTGCAGGTGTAGACAGAACCTACTCAGGATGGCAGCCACCCTGGGTATACCTAACAGAAGTATGGGAAAATGTGTAAGCTCTGCTTTTAAGTTGCCTATCCCACAGGGGATGGGGCTTGTGTCCTGCTTCGAGCACTAGAGCCTTTGCAAGGCCTGGAGACTATGCGGCAGCTTCGTAGTACTCTCCGGAAGGGCACCATCAGCCGTGCTCTCAAGGACCGTGAGCTCTGCAGTGGCCCCTCCAAGCTGTGCCAAGCCTTTGCCATTGACAAGAGCTTTGACCAGCGGGATCTGGCCGAGGATGAAGCTGTGTGGCTGGAACGAGGCTCCCAGGAGCCCAGTGCATCAGCTGTGGTGGCAGCAGCCCGCATTGGTATTGGCCACGCAGGGGAATGGGCTCAGAAGCCCCTGCGTTTCTACATCCGGGGCAACCCCTGGGTGAGTGTAGTGGATAAAGTTGCTGAGCAGGACACACAAGCCTGAGCAGTGAGTCTGCTTAGACAGGCTTTTTAATTGTTTAAAAGCCAAATAAATACTTTTTCTCTACAAACTATTGTTCATGTGTTTACCAGAACTCCTAATCAGAGTGTGTGGACTGTTTCTTCCTCTAGATTTAGGGGCCCTGTTGTATAGAACCCAAAAACAGTGCATACGTACCCCTCATAGCATGTTAAACACCACCTGTCATGAGCTGCTGCAGCCCAGGTGGGCCTAACCTTCGTCTTCAAATGATCAGGTGATGGCCTAGCTGGGCCTGCAGGTGACATATGGAGGGCTATGGCAGGGACCAGGCTGGGACATTCATGGCAAGCTGAGAGGAATGAAGTGCACAATGAACAGCAGCAGTGACAGAGGAAGGGGCCACCTAAGATGGGCCAGGCACTCAGACCTCACTTGCTACAGGCTATCAGAGAGGCTGGAGTGAATCAAACAAGTGTTTCTGCACATTTCCCAGGGTAGTCATATGGCACAGAGGATAGGAAACATGGATAGGGTTGGGAAGAGGGAAAGAAACCCAGAGCCTGTGTACACATGGAAGGACTCATTTCTCATGAGTCCTGGAAGTGCCCCACAGCTTGGTGATGCTACATCTGTTGGAAGGACTAGATGACAGATTAAGAGCAGAGTGGTGGCCCCACAGCTACTGCTAAACTAGAGCGAGGACAGCCCTGCTGGCCTTCTGCCTGTGCCATGCCTCAGGGCTAAGAAGGCTCAGGCCTGGTATGCAGGGAAACCTAGGGAAGGAGAGGCTAATGCCATCCCATACACTGCAGCATTTTCTGCATCATCCTGGGCTCATGTGAGCAGTGCCTGGAAGACAGCAATGACGGGGTCCTCATGGGTGGTCACCACCAACACACTGCGGAACTTGTCGAAGAGCATGAGCAGCTGAGAGCGCCGAGTATTCTCGTTGTACATGATCTCTTCCAGGTGGTGGCGGCCTCGGAAGTAGTGAAGGAGCCTGGGGAGAGAGGGTGGCCTGAGCCTAGCCTGAAGCTAGTCCCCAAAGGCCTCTAACATCAACTTGGACCCTAAGCCCACCAGTCACCAAACCAGTGGTGGCACTGAAGTGAGTCTATGAGGTGGTACTGCTGTTCAAACCCAGAGCCACCCAGGCCTGTGCCCCAATGTTGGGAGGGGGCAGACAGAAGAAGGCTTCCTTTTTCCGTGCTACTGTGGCACGGAGTCCATTCATTGCTCCATTAGGGGTCTACAGCTGAGGCTGGCACAAAGGAGGCCTGAATCAGCAGCTTGAAAGAGCTGCAGATGGTTCTCTCAAGGGGCTTAAGTGAATGCTGGCAACTTCCCAGATAACCATATACCCAATGACCCCCAAGTCAAGGTGGGGGTGATAGACTATCACAGTACTCTGATACAGGGACATCCTCCTACCTGAGGATAAAAATCCAGATAAACCCCTACCAAGTCCCATGTGGATAAGAACCTGCTGCTGCTTTTCAACTAGTGACAATAAATGTCCGCAAGTACTGGGGAAAATTCCCAAAGATAGGAACACCAGGCCTCCAGCCAAGGGTCCTGGCAATAGCCCACAGTCTACATATGGGTGGATGGTAGCCCCTGCACCAACAGGTACCAGGAGGGCATGCCTCAATACATGAGATACCTTCTTACCCTGTGTGACCAACAGCTGTAGTCAGTGCATTTGTACATGTGGTCCTGTTGAGTATTGCCCCTTCTACTTTTTGCCAGTTCTAGAATTGGTCCCTACCTGGCAAACATGCGGAGGTCTTCAGGGTTCTGGGCTGCAGGCACACTGAGGATGGCTGCCCGTTCATGCTCTGACAAGCTGGCCAGGAGGTTCTCTGTCATCCTCTTGTTCAGTGGTGAGTCTCCGCTAGGGAGCAGCTCTGCACTGGAGTTGTCCATGCTGGGGCTAGTGAGGGTCATGTCATCGCTGCTGGCTATGGGTAGGCACAGGTCAGGGTAGTCTCCAAAATGCTAAGGGGGGGGGGGTGCTAGCAAGGGTAGAACTAGTAGCCATCCCACAAAGACACTGTGTCAAGGGGGTCCTCCTAGAGCCCCAGCTGTACCATCTGTCCCCACCCAAGTTATGTCACCTCATCACTGCCACTCCACCCCTTGGGTATGTCACATGCCCTCTAGTGGCTGACAATGGTAAAGCTGCAGAGTCCCTAAACCAAAAGTCATGTGGAGTCCTGCTCCCCCACCCACGCAAAGAACGGCATCCTGTGTGGTACTCATGTGAAGCCTGAAGCTAAGGAACACTTCTGAAACCTTTCAGCCCCTTGCCTTGTCCACACAAAAAGCCAGGAGCCATGACCTTAGATAGCTCCAATAGCCTCTGGCGCTAGGCAGGAAAGCTTCTTACTTCAGGTCTCTTCTTGGGTCTTCAGGCACAAAGACCCCAACTGTTCTCATGGTGATGGTATGAAATCCGGCTCTGACCTCAGGCTGGGGCAAGGGGGTACCAGTAGGGATGTGGTGAGCTATGGGCCATCCCTGATTCCACCAAGTCCCTGATGAAGAGCCCAGAAACGAAGCTGCTTCCTTCTCAGAATCATGGTAGTTATGTACATGTACCAACTAACCCACGGTGAATGTAACCATTGTGTACAAATATATGCTAATAAAAATTGTAAAACAAGCCCTATAGGTGCCTCATAACTAACAGGAAGGGGAAAACAAAACATGGTGAGAAGGACCTCCATTAGGGAACATTCAAACAGGTATGTGTGAGCCAGGTGTAGTGGTGTATGCCTGTAATCCCAGTACTCCAGAGGCTGACGCAGCAGGATCATTACAAGTTTGAGGCCAGCCTAAAGTGAGCTCAAAATAAAAAAGTTTTTTAAAAATTTTAAAAAGATAATAAAAAATAAAACCAAAGTGAGCTCAAGGCCAGCCTGAACTGCATAGTAAGACCCTGTTTCCAAAAAGACAAATAAATACTACAGGTATATGTATGTGGGCAGTGGTGTGTGTAGCCATGTGAAGACACCTTTGTCATTTCAGCACTGCCCATGTCATGCTTTCTGTCTGCCACCCTCAGTGTCTCCCCAAACTGCCAGAAGGTTGTTAGGGGTGGGATCCTACTTGGGGAGCCAAAGCTTAGGGCGTTGGGTGTGCTGAGACTGCGGCTGCCAACCCGGGCAGTGAAAGGGACATCTTCCTCCCGTAGGCGGGGCTCCTCTTCATTAGGTGAGGCCATCAGGCAGACATAGGTGTGCAGCTGGATGAGGAGACGGCGCTGGAGCATCCATACCACCATCTGAATGAGCTGGGTCTGTAGGCAGGCAGCACAAGGCAGTGGGTGAGGCTGGCTTCCCACCCTAACCCCAAATCCCTCCTGAGGCATGAGGGAGCTATGGCCCTACACAGCTCTTAATAGAGTCTCTGGCGCTACACAGGAAAGCCTCTTACTTCAGAAAACTAGCCTCTACATGGTAGCTGGCTCCACAAGGCTAAGAGAACTCTCGGGTCATACACACTTAGGCTTCTTGTTTGTTTGTTTGTTTGTCTTCGGAACCGGGGATTGAACTCAGGCCCTTGCACTTGCGAGGGAAGTGCTTATTCCACTGAGCCATCCCCCCAGCCCCTAGGCTTCTTAAGTCTCATGGAGAGCAGAACCTGGAATGTAGAAGCCCCTGTGTCCTCCCTTCTCTAAGCTGACTTCATCTAAAGTTGCCTGTGCTCTGCCTCTCTTCCTTTTGACCTACTGGGCCTGCTGCTGGATCTAGCTTCCAGTCCACTGGCAGGCCAGTCCATGTACTGTTCAGAGAGAAGCTGTACAAGGAAAAAAAAAAAAAAAAAAAAAAAAACAGCAGCAGCTGTGGGCAGCTACCTTGTGAGCAACAACTTGGATCTACCCCAAAGTTTGCTCTGGGCACACAGGTGGTTCCAGAAGGAAGCCAGGGAAGGCGATCCCCTGGTTGGGTGTGAAGCTATGCCCTTTTTCCATCATAAGGCAGCCTAAGGCTGGGATCTCCATTTTTCTCATGGGTTAGATCTGGTAGAGCCCCAGTACCAATAACTAGTACCTCCCAGACACAGACATGGGAAACAAGGTGGGTACTGAGGGTACCAGAGTTATCTTTGGGAGGGTCCAAAAGGAGCTGCTGACCAGTATTACCTTCTAGAAAGAGGATGGGGAGATGGGTTAATTGGGGAAAGGATGGTGAGATATATATACTAACCCTGGTCAAAAAACAAATAAAACTTAAAAGACTGCAAAATAACAACTCAACATGAAATTAAGAAATAAAGCAAGACTGGGTATGATGGCACATGCCTATAATCCCAGCACTCAGGAAGATGAGGCAGAAGGACTGCAAGTCTGAGGCCAACCTGAGCTAAAAAGCGAGTTCAAGGCCAGCCTGCAATGGCTCCTGGAGCATCTGCAACTCACCTCCTGCACAGGGGGGCCAGAGGGCTCCTAGTACCCCAATAAAGAAAACAAAAGGGCTTCATAAACACTAGACCACATGTCCTTGGGGCCTGGCAGAACTTAACCTGGCTCTATCAAGCCCTTGATAAGGCTGGGGGCTGCTGCTCAGGAATGGCCTGGAAAATCCTTTCCATTATGCAGACCACTGGGAAGCTTTACTAAGATTGGAATACCACTATCACTATCCCCTCCCCCATGCTGCTCAGGAGGGTACAGATGCAAAGTTTGTCTCTTCAGGTGGCATGACCTGGCATGGATTCCTGGAGTCCAAAGGCCCTATAAAAGATGACATTTAGAACTCTGTCACACCCAGCATCTAAATGAGCTGAAAAACTAGGATCTTATTTTCATTCATAACTTGGTAAGGGAAAATAAAATAAAATAAAATAAAAGCAAGTTGAGAAGGGAAAGGGTTTAAGGACTGGTTTTGCCCAGTAGATCTGGTACTTAGTAAGATAAATACTTTGCTTTGGGAGACAAAACTCTTAGAATACCCAGCCTTTCTCTATACCTGATCCTATTCTCTGTCCTTCTCCAAGTTCCCTTCATTCAGAGTTTAGATTCTCAGTGGAGGGGCAAAGCCTAGAGTTTCCCTATCACTGTCTCAACAGGAGACTGTGAAAAGTGACACCTTGTGGCCCAAAAGAAAGCCACCACAGAGAATTTTCATCCCCTCCATATGCAGGAGGAACTGACAATCCTATGCGCAACTTGTCTGTCCCAGATCACCAGGTAGATGCTGACCCAGAATGGTCCACTGCCAGTGCTCTTGGATGAGAAGACTTCAATGCCCAGTGACTCCAGAGTATACAAACACTGTGGCCCTAAATGCCAGGAAGAAGGGACAGAATCAAGCCTTTTTGGAGGATAGGACCCAGGCTGGGTAGAAACAAAGCTGCTTTTCTATCTTCCATCTGTGGAAAACCCCTATACCTAGAAACAGGTTTCTGTAAGCCCAGGAAAGGCCAGTGCTCTCCCACCAAGTTTAACTCATTTCTAACTCCAAAGATGGTCACTATAACCAAAGTGGTTCTGTGGATGGGAATGGGTACACCAGTGCTAGGTTACTAGGCAACAGCTGGCTCTTGGGTTACCTGTCAGGTATGTATCACTTGTACAGCAAGTTCTCCAAAAAAAAGGCAAAGGGGGAAGCAGAAGCAGTGCTGAGGATCCCTGGCTCATTGATGGGACAGCCAGGCAACTTGTACCCAATCTGCCTTGTACACCACATGCCAGACTCCTGAAGCTTCTGCAACTTACCTCCTGCACAGGGGGGGCCAGAGGGTTCCTGAACTCCGACAAGGAGACGGGCAAGGAGAACTTGGCCAGGACAGATGGCAGGTCATGGGATGGGAACTGGTGGGAGAACTGCTCAGCCAGTGGAGAATACCTGGGGACAGCAAGACAGTAATCACTAGGACTGCCTAAGAGCAGCCAGACAGTGGTGGGATACCAGGCCTACCACAGCACCCTTTACCACAGGCCGTCAAGTGACAGCAGAGTACTGCAGCATAGTGAATGGACCAGGATGAGCAGGGAAGAACAGGGTAAAAAGGCTAAGCAGGGCAGACATTCATGGGGACAGAGCCCAGGTGGTGGTAGCATGGGGTACCCATGCTCTGATCTTAGGTAGGAGGAGGTGCCCTCAGTGCCCTGATAGCACTGAGCCACATCAGAAAGGGATATGAGCACAACAGATGCCAGCTATTAGACTGAAGTAAGAGGCTGGCCTTGGGCCCACAGAACTATGTGGAAGGCCTCGCTGGGCTCATCCTTCCCCACTCTAGGCTCCCACCTTTGGCCACCAGTGGTACTCACAAACACACGCTGGCATTAGGAGATAGCACGTAGACATTGTTCTCACACAGTGGGTAGATGATGACAGCCTTGCCCCAATATACCAGGTGAGCTGCAAGCTGGAAAACCTGCAGGCCAAGTGAGTTGGGAAGACTGAGCCTGGGAGGCTATACCTTCTCTGCCTTGAAAAATAGCCAAAGCTCATACCACACAGACTTTAAAGCTGTGGTTCTCCAGGCCTTCTTTCTGATTTGGGTAGCACCTTGCCATCCTCCCACCTGGGCAGAACTAGTGAAATGTTTCCTGTCTATGCTCAGAGCAACAACCTGTTCATTACTGTTGCCTATGCTGTTTGATACCACCATTTCCCTGCCAGGGTTCTGTGCTGTCTTGGCTCCTTCTTTTTGTTTTTGAAAAAGGGACTCAAGCTGGCCCTGAGCTCACTATGTAGCCCAGACTGGTCTCGAACTTTTTTTGTTTTTACGGAACCGGGGATTAAACTCAGGCCCTTGCACTTGCCAGGGAAGCACTTATTACACTGAGCCATCTCTCTGGCCCCATGGTCTCGAACTTTTTATGATTCTTTTGCCTTGGCCTCCTGAGTGCTGGGATTACAGGTGCACACCACAATGCCCAACTTGTCTTGGCACCTTCTGAGGAGCAGCACTGTCTGACTTAGCAAGCCATGAGCAGGATAGATTGAACAAATGTCCCAGTAGAGGACACCCCTCTGACATTCACCATGACCCTAGCATGGCCTCTTCCAAGATGTGACATCACTCAGTATACCACCCTTGTATACTCAAAGGCCCCACATTCATCCCTGTTTTCCTATCCCTGTGTTCCTATCTGGAGAGCACCACACCATCTTGCTTTCCTGGGCTCTTGGATACCAGGAGCTACAGACAGACAAACATGTTTGAAATACTCTCCAAAGGCAAACTCAGAGTACTTCCAGCTCATGAGGGGAGGCCAGGTCTAACAGCACAGCACTGTAGTCCTTCACAAGGTATGTGAAGTCTCAAGCAGCTAGCATTTCTGTTTTTTTTTTTTTTTTTTTTTTTTTTTTTTGTTTCTTTGTTTTGTTTTGTTTTTGTGGAACCGGGGATTGAACTGAGGCCCTTACACTTGTAGCATTTCCGTCTGTGTCACCCACTCTATCATCAGTGCCTGCTATGTTGTTAAGGACACATCTATTTTCTCAACACACAGGACTGCAAAGGGACCATCAACTCAAACGCTGTGGAAATAAACATTGGGAAGGTCCCATCACTGTCTTTCTTCTCACTCGGTCCAAGGGTCAGATATGAGCTCTCAAGCAGAGATGCGCCTGGCTACCAGCTGGTTTAGCAGTCTTCAATCCTCAGGTTTCTATGCTCCTTTTTCTAAAAGGTAAAAAAAGGGGCTGGCGAGATAGCTCAGTAGAATAAGTGCTTGCCTGGTCAAGCACAAGGGCCTGAGTTCAATCCCTGGTTCCACCAAAAAAAAAGGTTCTTCTCAAGGCAGCTGGAGCACCATTCTGGAGGGTCCAACTCCAAAATCAGTATCACAGGGCCAGATGCAAAGTGCTAGTAAAGCTGTGCTACTGAGGCTCTAGGAGAGAATCTTCTCATAGCTCTTCCAGCTGATGGTATCCCTTGGCTTGCAGTCACATAGCTCCACTCTCTGTCTCTGTGGTCACATTGCTTCCTTTTCTGTAGACGAATTGCCCTCTGCCTCTCTCTTAAAATGGCTCTTGTGAAAACATCTCAGGCTCACCAGTATAATCTTCCCATCTCAAGATCCTTGACTTCCTAACATCTGCAAAATCCACATAAGGTCACATCCATAGGTCCTGAGGATTAGGTTGTAGATGTCTGTGGGAGCCAGCATGCAGCTTGCACATGTTTTACCAGGCATGATAGGTCAAGCTTGAAGTCTCAACTACTTGGAAGACTGAGATAGGAGGTTCACTAGAGTCCAGGAGTTCAGGGTCAGCTTGGGTAACATAGTAAACACAAACAGTAATATATGAAAAAAAAAAAAAAGAGAAAAATAAATGCATGTACATGCCTAAGAATCTAGATGATCTATAGCAGTTACTTCTGACATGAGATTGTAGGGACTTTATAGTTTGTGTCATATTTGAATGTTCATAAGGGTTTTTTTTTTTAATATTAGGGTTGAACGGAGGGGCTTATACCTGTTAGACAAGCACCCCACTACTGAACTGCATCCCTAGTCTTTTTTTTTTTTTTTTAATGTATTTAAATGTACCAGGATGTGCCTCCTGTTTTTAGCCTCCACAGCGCTGGGAATATAGGCGTGTGCCACCATGCCCAGACCCGGTAGCAGGCTCAGTGCACCTGAGGACAGGGCCAGCACAGCATGTAGTGCTGGGGACCTAGTCCATTTTTGAGAGAGGGTCTTACCAAGTTGCCCAGGTTGGCCTGTCGATTGTAATCCTCCTGTCTCAGCTCTCAAGTAGAATTGGTTACAGGCATGCACCACCATGCCTGGCAATTATTTTATCATGACAAAAAAATTTTGACCCTTTTTGGTCAAAATGAAACAAGAGCGACTTTAATCCTAAAGCAGCTTCTCCTCATAGGGCGAGAACTACCATGGGCTACTGCTCCCCATGCAACATCTATAGGAAACAGCAGTCCCAGAGGTTGCCAGAGTAAGTTATAATGCCTGGGCCCCAGAGGGCTTCCACACAGCCACACCAACAACAAACCTGATTTGCGCCAGTCCAGCAGAGAAGGGGTACAGAAGGAAACAACATCAAACTGCTTCCTCTACCTCATTCAAGGCAAGGCAGGAAAGTGAAGGAGACATCAAAGGGACATCAAAGCTTTGTCTAAGAGACTCTGACAGCAGGGGTGAGGCACATATCCAGCACAAACCCATCAGCCTCCTCAGTCAAAAGTGGCTATATCCTTCCAAAGCTTAAAATAGGACATTTAAGGGCCAGGGAGATGGCTCAGTGGAATAAGCGCTTCCCTGGCAAGCACAAAGACCTGAGTTCAATCACTGGTTCCGAAAAAAAAAAAAGGACATGTACACATTCACATTTATCTACCAGGTAGCCAGTACGGTTAGAATAGAGACCATGGGGCTGGTGAGATGGCTCAGTGGTCTAAAGCACCTACCTAGAACAAGCTTAGCAAAGCACAGGAACCACGGTTCAATCCCCCAGCACCACATGCCAGCCACCCTGCGCCCTGGTGGGCTGAGCTGGCCACACACACACACACACACACATAAATAAATAAATTAATTAAAAAAAAAAAAAGAATAGAGACCATGATCCCTTATTTGCACGTGTATTTAAAGTTCTGTTCCTATGGATGCTATAAAGCAGGCTGTGGTCATTACTGGGTCCTATCCAGCTCTAGCCCAGGAAGTTAGCTAAGTACCCTCACATAGCAGATAAAGGGCTATGAGTACAGAGTATGAACTCATTCTGAACAAGAGAATCAAAACAGTGGCTTGGAAGATACAGCCTGTCAGGCCTAAGAAGTAAAGCCCACCAGCAATGCCAATACCTCCCTGAGGTAAACCTCACAGGCCCCAACAGAGTCAGGAAGCTCAGCTGGAAGGGCCTAAGTACGCTGGCCTTGGACCAGTGCTGCTCCTCAGCTGCTTGAGAAGGCTGCTACCACCCACCTCAGTGGCCAAGACCAAAGCCAAGGCAGACCTCTGCTGCCCCCACGTGGCCAAGTGGCACATACCACCAGATCCTGGGTCTTAGCTACCAAAGGCACCTAAACCTAACTCTGAGCCTGCCCTCAGGCTGTCACTTGAATGACATCCACAGCCCTAGGTAAGGTTGCCTGATTAGCAGCTTGGATCCCTTGGAACAGCTTCTTCTTGTGCTTTTCCTCCCCTGCCCCAACACATACACATCAAATAGATCCATGGCCAAAGGGCAGCCCACAAGCACACAACTCACAAGGTGGGTGGCATCTTATATAAAGAATAGCAACTAATGCATGTGTGCATGGTAGGTGAGGCTATCAGCTCAGTCCTGACTCTGGTTCAGAACACATGTTAATTTCCAGCTCTCGCTTGCCACATGCTTGCTCATGTACCATTGTGAGACTTCCATGAACTGAATGATATCCTGTACTCTCTTCCCTTTCCCATATACTCCAGCTCTGATGTTTCATCCTCTAGATCTCTGTCCAGTGTGGCAGGCACCTCCCTCCTTTCTCCCACAGCGTAACTTGCCTCTCTTCCCCTTCCCTCAAGACCGGCTAGCTCACAAAGCTAGCCCTGCACCTAGGTCCCATTTAGATGCTAAAATTGTAAGCCACTCTAGGAACCTCGCAGGTCCATGACAGACTGTATAGTGGCTCTCAAACAGACAGACTGGGAATATGGCACAGCTTGCAGTCTGCTTATCTGAGCCTCCCACCTTTACTGAGGGGCTGCCTCCAGTAGATGTACCCAGAAGTCACCCCCTTTTATTCATTCAAGTCCCCAGATCCCTACCTGCAGCAAGGCCAGGTCAGCATCCTGGGCTAGCTGCTGCAGGTTCTTCACAGCAGATGTGGTCTTGATTACCCGTACCAGAGCTGGGGAGCAGTCAATGGGCAGCTCACTCAGCAGGGACTTCTCATCACTGAGCAACAGCAGGGCATGATATGGGCTAAGGAGCAGAATCACAGGTTGTCAGGGCATGCAGAATCTCAAGGTCCCTTCAACCAAGTACGTTCCTAGAACATACCAAGGCATAGCTGGAGCCTATAGGCACTGAACTGTGGAGAGGCTGAGAAGAATCAGAGAAAAGCATAGTGTATCCAAAGGCATTTATATAATTTGCAAGGACTACTGTTATTTTTCAGAGAAAATAAAATTAGCACAAAACTGGAAGGTTCTGAACATTTGACTCCATATCTTGCCTATGACACTGCCCAGCACACATTCGCTAACTGAAGAAATAAAATAATCTTTCCTACGGATATAGTCCCAAACAAGGGAAAAGCAAAAGCTACACAGACTATAAATAGAATGAAAATATGCTTAGCAAAGTCTCTGCAAAGGAAGACATCTGACTTGAAGCATAGATGGGAGAGGTAGGAAGACCAGGTAGTAGTTTGTTTTCTTTGTCCAGATTCCTTCCTTTATTCTTCCCCCTTTTTTTGGGGGGGGTGCGGAGGGATACTGATAATAGAACTCAGGGCTTTCACACAAAGAGCTACATCCTCAGGCCTTTTAAAAAAATCCTTTTTTTTTTTTTTTGCGGAACCAGGGATTGAACTCAGGCCCTTGCGCTTTCCAGGGAAGCGCTTATTCTACAGAGCCATCTCCCTGGCCCCTAAATTCTGTATTTCTGAGACAGTCTCAGCAAACTACTAATCCTCCTCCTGCTTTAGTCATCAGAGGGCTAGGATTATAGGCATCACTCATACCTGGCAGTTTTTTGTTTTTTTTTTTTTTTTTAGCACTGGAGATCACATCATGATAGGAAAGTACTCTAGCACTAAGTTAGATGCCCAGGCCCAGATTTCTTTTTGTTTTTTGAGACAGGGTCTTGGTATACAGTTCAGGCTGTCCTTGAACTCATTACATAGTCCAGGCTGGCCTTCAACTTGTAGTGATCCTCCTGTCTCAGTCTCCTGAGTGCTAGGATTATAGGTGTGCGGCATCACACCTGACTATGACACTAGTTAAGAAACTGAGATTCCATGATTTCTGACTCAAGTACAAAGGATCATGGGGCAACAAGTACTATGAAGATAAGTAGCCTTATCTTATCACCAAAAGCCATGCTTGTCCCCTTAGCCACACAGCCTTCCCAGCAGGCTGCCCTGCTCAGGCACAAGGGAAGGACCTTGGCAGAAACCCCTACTCCCCCAAGTGGTGCTGGGAGGGCTCAGGGGAACTTGGAATGGGTCATTTCTAGACAAAACTGTATACAAAAATCACATATGTGTTTTTCCTAGTAACTGGCTTCTAATTGCCAACTTTTGTGGCAAGAAGAGAAAAAGAGAACTTGTGGAATAAAAGCAACTGGTAATGGCCGAGCAGCTACCATCCTTGCAGGGAGTAGACAGATGGGGCTGGTTCTTACCGGATGGCTTTCAGGCTCCGTTCAATGGCTTCAGGAGGGATCAGGCTGGAAGAAGCATAATGGATCTTGTGAGGCAAGCAGAAGCTCACTTCTAGCCAGCTGTTGATATGGAGTCGCACCACACCAGATGTACACAGGCTGTAAAAAACAGGCACCATTACAGTTCACATAAGTATAGTGTGATTTTTTTTTTCCAGTGCTCAGTATTGAACCCAGGGTCTTTGCATACAAGGCAAGAACTCTACCATCTAGCCACATGCCCCATCCCTACTAGTTCACATAGGAACTTTTTTGAGACAGGTTTCATTATGCAATTCAGACTGGTCTTGAACTCACTTTATAAGCCAGACTGGCCTTGAACTCATGATGATCCCAAATCCTGGGATTACAGGTGTTTGTCACCATGCCTGACAAAGGAACTTTATAAACATATGCATAAGCTCATTCTGGGCAATTTAGGGGAGATCTTGTCTCAGAAAATTAAAAGGAGCCCAGATGGAGCTGAGTGAGAAGGCCCTGTGTTCCATCCCCTGTACAAACAAAACAAAGAAAAATCTAGGTTCACACGTGACTTTTGTAAAACATTTTTATTCAGTCACTGAAGGAGACTTCAAGTTAAAAGACTCCAAAAACCCTTAAGGGGGGTGGGGCAGGGCACTACTTGGGTTTTTCCCACACTTTGCAATCACTGGGCACTAGTTTAATTTTCCTTCACTTGTTTCAAAGTGGATGAAAGAGAGTACTAACAGGGGCCAGGGAGATGGCTCAGTAGAACAAGCGCTTGCCTGGCAAGCACAATGACCTGAGTTCAAACCCCAGTTTTACCAAATACCAAGTTTTTTAAACAAACAAACAAACATATGCACAGATCACAACACTGCATTCAACAATGCTACTCCCACCACATTGCCCTGTTGGTTGGAGGAAACTTTAGGTGGAAACCTCTAAAACTCATCTTTTAGACTGGGCGTGGTGGCACACACCTGTAATACCAGCTCTTGGGAGGCTGAACATAGGTCCATCACTACAATTCCAATCTACATAGTGAGACCCTGTAGACCCTTACTAAAAAAAAATTTTTTTTTTGGCTGAACTGGGGATTGAACTCAGGCCCATGCGCTTGCCAGGCAAGCGCTTATTCTATTGAGCTATCTCCCCGGCTCCACCCTTACTAAAATTAAAAAATAAAAAAAATCTTTTCAGATCTCAGTATACTTAAGAAAATAGGTTATGAATATATATACACATATGCATTTCTGGTTACTTCCAAAAAATATCCTCCAGGGGCTGGCCAAATAGCTCAGTGAATTAAAGCACCTGCAAGCAGGCACAGGGTTGGGGGTTCGATCCTCAGGCCTGCCATGCTGGCTCCACCCCCAGGGCTGAGACAGTAATTGAGACAGGGTGTGGTGGCATGTGCCTGTAATCCCAGCTCTTGGGAGGCTGTAAACAGGCGGATCACTACAAGTCCGATCTAGTAGTGAGACCCTGAACACCCTGTCAACTCTTCCCTAAAATACAAAAAAAGGAAAAAAAAAAAAAAAAAAAGGAAGAAAGAAAATATCCTCCGACTATCCTGACACAGCTCAAGGGAAGCAGCATCTTTTATCCTGGAAGGTCAAAGCACCAGAAGACTCTAATCAGGCCCTCTGCTAGCCTAAGCTTCTGGCAAAACCTGATACCCAGAGTATGCCCTTCTGGAGAAGGGACCTTCGATGCAGACCTGATACAGGTCTAGTCACCAAATGGTAGTCAGAGGGCCTGTCTCACAAGGGGGTGGGGGTCAGGTCCCCTAGACCATTCTAATGGTGAGAAGTACAATGTACCCATCTTCCTATACAAGTTTCAGTAGCATTCCATATGTAATGCATGTAGCTATCAAGCTGTAGATATATGGGTGGTTGTCTAAGCCTGCCCTAATGCCCCACCATCACACCAAACCTTCTGCTCCAAAATCTTTTCTTTTTTTCGAGGAACCAGGGATTGAACTCAGGCCTCTGTGCTTGCCAGGCAAGCAATTATTCCACTGAGCTATCTCTCCGGGCCCCTCCAAAATCTTTCAATGATAGCAATTCAGTTCCTTTAGGCATCACTTCTCAGCCTTTTGGCTAAGATCAAGTACAGTTCCTTTAGGCTTCCAAACCATGCTCAGGCTAGAAACAACACTGTTCCTGATTCCTTGCTTATCAGCAAATTCTATCTGTTCCATCTGCAGGGATATCTAGAATCCAGATCTTTTCAAAATGTCAAGAGTACCAGCCCCTAAAGGTGCCCCTCAAGTCACCCACCTCACAGCCCTGTGGTTCCCATCCAAGGCCCTGCAACATAGAGCCCAATGCGATCTTTCTACATTTCTCTGATCTCATTTCCTCTCTATCACTCAGGTCTAGCTATTGTCAGGACCCTGGCACTTGCCCTTGGCCATGACCTCTCATCCCAGATGCTCCAGGGCTCCTTCATTTATTCAGTCTGAAGTGTCACTGTCTAAACAAGGAATCCCTTGACTCCAGGTCCCACGAGTACTCTGACCCTTTTGCCTGAACTCTTTTTTCTTTTTTTGGCGGAACCAGGGATTGAACTCAGGTCTTTGCACTTGCCATGGAAGCACTTATTCCACTGAGCCATCTCCCCGGCCCCTATTGCCTGCACTCTTGCAGTGATCCCCAGATCACGTGATGCTGTTTGCTAATATTGTCTCCCTGACTTCAACAAAATCATGAGAAGGAGATGATGGGTTGTGTTCCATGTTCACTGCACCATGGGTCAAGTTTTGGACTTGTGTTAGCACTAAGAAGCCTGGCATGAGTGGAGAAAGGAAAAGGGCCCAAGGAACAAGCTGTATACCTGGGTACACTGTCTTCTTTGCCCAGGAAACCTATTCCTGAAAACAGGCTCCTTGTGGCCTTGCTGGGCGTCCCTGAGGAACTATACCTAGAAGGAGGAGGGAGGGCATCATGGAGGAGCTAGTCCCTTTTACAGCTCAGACACACAGTCCCTGTGCTAAGTGCCAACAGTACTTAGTGGACTACAAGAAGGAATTATAATCAATCAAGCAAAGCCCCTGCGCAGCTGGTCCTCAGTTTGCCTCCAGGCACAAGTGATGGCAGTATGTGAGGGGCTGGGGAGATAGCTCAATGGAATAAATGCTTGCCTGGCAAGCACAAGGTCCTGAGTTCAATCCCTGGTACCACAAAAACAAACAAACAAAAAACCACGGTAGTATGTGAGGCTGGACCTGAGAAAATTCCCATGCTCTTTTCAGCCTGTCTGACTCAGCCAGACTGGAAGAGCCAGGGAGGCACACACCCTCCTCATCCTGGGTAGGGAATGCTCTGTAAGGCTCCTGGTGATAACTCAGTTCTCAAACAGCAGCAAAACACATATCAGTTCTCCAAGCTGCCAAATTTCTACCACACCTCCCCCATCATATTTCCTCTGTTTGCTACCCGCCATCCAGGACAGCAGCCAAGAAGTGCTTTTCCCATCACTCCTTGACCCTAACTCTACTATTCCTGGCTCCCAGACGCCCACATTCAGCTAAGTGTGGAACAGGATAGCAGCTTGAGGAGGTGTGGCAAGGAGCTCTGCCTGCCCCACGTCAGAAAGCGCAAATAGCTCCGCATCTCTCCCCTGGACACACATCAATATCAGGCACTGAGAGGTGGCTACTTGGAAGGCAGCACACAGTCCTCTCTCTTGGCACCCACAAACCATCCTTACAACTGCTTCCCTGAAGTCTCAAGCCACAGACTAACAGCCTAAGCTTCTCTCAGGTCCTTTGGAGGGCTAGCAATGGCTGTGGCCAGCAGTTTAAAAATGTATGGTTTTGCATTATTCTAGTTTTTATTCTTGTTTTTGACTTGTGTTAGTCTTTATTCTCTTAAGCTTGGAACAGGCAATGAGGAAATAAAACACAAAACACATCTGTAACCAGCACAATATCTCAGCATCCCTACCAACACCAATGATCTGGTTACTGCAAGGTGTCCCATGACTGCTCAACTCCCCTGGTATTTTTCCTCTGAGGTATCTGAAAACTCATGCCTATTAATGTCAGGGCCTCAGCACCACCAAAGAAGGGTGTGAGGAAGGGAGTGTAAAGGCCATAGTTGAGTCTAGAGGGTAAAGGATTGTCTAGTCCTTCAGAGAAAAACACATAAGACAGTTTGGCAAGTGTCAAGATGAGTTCCCAGAGGACAGCACTACTCTTGATTTCTTTTATTTATTTTTTCTTTTATTTATTTTTGTTATATTCTTTTCTTGGTTTCTTTTAAACATGGGCGAGTATGCAAAAGAACTGCACCCTTCTTCAGCCAAGATCTTTGCTAGATAGAAAGCTCATATCAAATCCTGACAACATAGCTGAGCCTCAAAGACACAAAGATTACACCATGCGAGAATTGTCCAGGGAACCAGGATAGATGCTCAATTTGACTAAGCAACAACTAAGATCTCAGCGTCCACATATGAAATGGAAGAGGAACAAGAGAAAAGGTCCAGTGTGGGTAGACTCTTTACACATGATCAAAAAGATGAGTAAGGGGGGCTGGTGAGATGGCTCAGTGGTCTAAGGCACCTACTTAGAACAAGCTTAGCAAAGCACAGGGACCACAGTTCAATCCCCCAGCACACCACATGCCTGCCAGCCCCGCCCCCTGGTGGGCTGAGCTGGCCACACACACACATACACACAAATAAATAAATAAATTTAAAAAAAAAAAAAAAGATGAGAAAGGGCCAGGGATACAGCTCAATGGCACAGCACCTGCCTGGCAAGCACAACATCTTGGGTTCGATTTCCTGCACAAAAAATGAAACGTGGGGCTGGGGAGATGGTTCAATGGAATAAGCACTTCCCTGGCAAGTGCAAGGACATGAGTTCAATCCCCGGTTCTGAAAAAATAAATAAATAAATAAATAAAACGAAAAGACAAGTCAGCTAAAAATAAAAATCCTTCTATTTCCTTTACAGTCTACTTTATTTTACTTGTACTTGTTTGCCCTTCTATTTCTGAGCTGTCCCATTTATGGCGTAGCTTAAGGTAGCTGCTGAAACAACACAGAATCAGAATTAAACACCACAACTCTCACCATTTCAGGCAGGTGCTTATTCTCCTGAGCTATCTCTCCAGCCCCAC